AGGAACTAGAAAAACTGATACAGGATTCAAACGCACAACAGAGAGGTTAACAGGTAGCCGCAAATTCAGCTTGTTGAGTCATGCAGCCGACAGGGAGCTGGGGAAACACTACAGACTGACAACAGAGAGGACAGGATGGCCAGTGACACCTGCTGGCCAAACAGGGAGAAGACACAAGACTGGGACAAGACAGGTGCTGACTGACAAAAATATTCCAGAACTTTGTTGTTTAATGTAGTTGCTTATTTGGGCTTGCTCCCTATCTCCTGTCTCTCTCCACCATACCTGGCTAATAAGCAAAACAGCTGAGTTTGTCCTGTTTCACGATCCTGTTCCCTCCACCCCTCTCCTTCCCCATACAAATTAAAGCAAATCAAAATCAAAATGGAGTTTCTTTAGCTAGTTCGCTAACAATGCCAATAACTATGTGGGAAAAATACAAGAAAAATGCAACAAAAAGTGTGAGAAAGGGTGGATGAAAAGACTGGATTCAACCTCAAGTGGGGGATAAACGTACATGAACTGCAGCAATGTTTACATCAAAGAAGCTTCACTATATAGACACTGTGTGGAAAGTTCACTCTACATAAGTAACTATACTAAGCTATACTGCACACACACACACACGTTGGGTACACATATCTTTATGGGGACCACTCATTCATTTCTGTTGGAAAAATGCTAACTATGACAACCTTAACCCCTACCCAGCCCTAACCATAACCATAAGTAACCAAGCAAAATACAAGTGTTTTTGCATTTTTAGTTTTTTCATTGCAGTCAGATTTCTATTAAATTGAGTTTTCCCTTATGTGTGTGTGTGAGCGGGTATGCCTTACTTTATGGGGACACAATGTCCCCACAACGTGATGAATATCCGTTTTTTCCCGGGAAGGGAAAATTTTAACGAAAAAAAAAAACGGGTATTCATCACGTTGTGGGTACATTGTGTCCCCATAAGGTAAGGTATACCCGCTCACACACACACAAACAAACAAACAAACAAACACACACACATATGAAGGATAAATTTAGGCAGAGCAAAGGTAACGAAGACGTCATATATCCGCAGAAGAACTGTGCAGCTGAAGGACATACAGTAAAGGGTTAGACGTCCTGTTGCTTCTGAATGTATTTCACTTATATAACTGCCCCCATCCGAAAAAAAAGAAACTCTTTCTGGCCCACCCTATTACGGAGAGCTGGAGCCTGGTCTGAGACCATACATAAAATATATTTTAACTTGGGGGAAAAGAGGTGTCTTACGACGAAAACTTTCGCATGAACACAGGACTATGGATACAAGACGTTTTTACAGAACGTACATCGTAATATGACCATAAATAAACAATCACAATTCGAAAATACTAACATACAGTTAGGCTTAGTGTGAATTTGTTTTTCTTTCTTTACTTACCAAAGGCAAGTTCAAATATCCTTCGGGCTAGATTNAATTTGTCGTGCTGCTCGTTTTGGTTGCGACAACTTAGAAGCACATCTTGCAAATGGGCTTGTCCACATCTTTTGCTTTTCCTTGTTATTCTGGTTCATATGCAAACTATTTCCAGACAGTGCTCCTGCTTTTTACATTCTCTATCAAGCTTGGTGCTGCAGAACTAAAGCTGGAGCTGATTTCGCCCACCGCCACGTTTAAAGTGTGTTACTCATATAAAACAATGGGTCCTCCAGGTAGCCGTTGTCGGGGGAGGGGTTGCCCGCTGCAATGCCTGTTGAAAATTGTTGTAGTATGCCGGTGATTTCCGTGAACTCGCAGATGCAAAACTGGCATTTAAGTATCGATACCAGCGCTAATTGATATCGAACTCGATACTAAATTTTTGTATCGATTAGTATCTGAGAATCGATTTTTTTGACAACATTAGTATGATGTGTGTGGACTGTGAAGCACTGGCAGTATCCGTTGAGAAAATGTATACAATGTAACGTTTTTAAAATAGATGCATCTGCCTGGTTGCATTTAAAATGAGGCACGTAATGAATAATCATACTGTTCTGTGAGGATGTGCTGTTTTCCCTTTTTTTCCCCATCCCATCGAGACCGCTATGTCCGAGACCAAGACAAGACCGAGACTAAATAGAGTCGAGACCAAGACAAGACCGAGACCACAAAGAATTCGAGAACTACAGCACTAGAAACTACATCATCCGAGTGTGGGAATGACTGGTTCATACTTATCTGTGGCATTTAAGGAGCTTTTTGCAGGAAATTCAGACCTGACTTAAAAAAAAAACTAAGGCAGTTTTAATAATAATTTTTTTTTTTAAATGTGCTTTCGCTGCGGTACTGAAACTGCACAGAACCATGAACCCGAAACAGCATTATGCACATTCTCATTATGCAACTTACCCTATTTATTATTTATTGCTGCTGCACTACTTTGTNAGTGAGGATTTAATTGTGGTAGTTATGACTGGGAAAACATCTTTTAAAAATATGGTACAAGTGCTAGTATTCATGGTGTAAGTCAGCTTGCTGAGCAGTGTTTAACCGACCATCTATTTTTCTATGTAAATAAAAAGTGAAGGTTGTTTGGTTTCTTTAATGTTTCCTTTGGGTCGGGCAACAGACAGAACCATGTATCTGAAATGAGATGCATGAGGACTACATGGTGTCCATAACCCCCCCCTCCCCAACACACATTTCCGAGTGGGCACAGGTTGTTGACTTCAACATCTTTTATGAAATACCTGGCCATAAAGTCCCTTGCACCTCTGCTCTCATTTTCTCTTTCGTTTTTTCTTCTCCTTTTCTGAGCACCTGACTTATGATGTTTTGCCATTTTGACAGTTGACTGGAGGAGCTAGGGACTGACTAAATGTCACTTTGTCACTTTCGACTATACCGTGGCGTGACAAACCAAACCTGATTTTGCATTATAGGCTGTTGTTGGGTGTGTGTGTTTTTGTTTTATGAAATATTGTTGTTGTCAGTTATTTGCTTAAGTTCACCAAGTTATTTGCTTAAGTTCACCATGTATCTATGAAACTGTTTCTGTTTCATGTGACATTTCTGGTGCTAACATTCCCAGTAAATGGAAACTGAGGGTTTCCTTCTGCAGCTTCCTCGTGCACGTCTGTCTTAGGGTTGTAAGGGTACAGGTTAAGTAATTGCTGTGTGCCATTCAGTTATGTCATGTTTGGTCCGGAATGCACTATAAAATGAACAAACACTTTTCTAGACACGGAAAGCGGAACTTAAATTCAACATGGAAGCATTATGCTCATTGTGGATTTGAGCTGGTTACAGCTAATGCTGGCTATGGTCAGTCATAATCAGTTGCTTGAGAATATGTTGGTTTCCCAATAAATTACACCAGCACTAGAGAGAAAGTAGTTGGTAAATCCAAGACTGTCTCTCAGCTCTGTCCTGACTCGCATATGTTGCTGGATACACATCCAACGTGCTAACATATTTGAAACTACTAGTGTTGTAGTCAAGACCACCTAAACCGAGACCAAGACACTGCCGAGACTTGAGGGTACCAAGACCAAGACCAAGACCAAGA